TTTTAGTGATGTTATTTAAACTTTTTTCCATAAATTAATAAGTGTTTTGTCACAAAATGAAAACCATTCTTGACTAAATAAGTTTAAAGATTCATGTAGGCCTATTTTGTTTGATTTTTTTATTTTATTACGGTTTTATGTAATGCCATATTTATTTGGTGTTCTAATTTTCGTTGTTTACAGGATAAAAAATGAGAACAAGTTAATCAATGAATCGAAGGATTGATTATAATCAAAATAATACCAGAACACTAAACACATGCTATTTATAACGCAATGTAAAGCTTAGTAAAGAAAAGAGCAGGGGATTTAAGACTCAGTTAAATGAATTTCAGGGTTGCAAAATCAACCACATTCTTCAATCTGTCAAGGGGTACCAACCCGAGAGAAATATTACCCTAGTGATCGGATGTTATAGTGCTGCAATATTGGCAACACTAAAAAAAAAAAATCTTTGTTTAGACAATTTGTCTGCTTAAATAGACTTTCAATCATTATAACTCATAAATCACCTTTAGATCGCTAGGCTTCAGGCCCCCAAATCAAAAGGGGGCGTAGTTTATAATAAGCATTGAATTACACGTTTGCGTTGGGGACTATATTATATGTGGTAAGTTAATTAACCATGATCGATATCATTGGAATAAATAAATAATGCATAATATAGTTGAAGTTGGAGTTTGTATCAATTTCACTTCACCTGGCTTGCTGACTTGTGAAGAACATGTGAGCGAAACGTTATCTTTTACAACTTAGCTAGTTCACACACCGAACGAGAAATTTCGTATTTAAAATAATGCTATAATTTTTTATTCTGTTTAGTATATTTAATAGTTATATTCTTTTTATCAAAATATTTGTTGAATGTTGTCAAGTTATTTTTTTGTTTCATTCATTACAACTCAATGTATCACTTCAATTCAGTGTTATATATGGATATCTGGGAAATAGACAGTGTTACTCTTTGTTAGACTAGAACAGAGTAGATAATCCAGCTTTACACCAAAACTATTTCAAGTAAGATTGGCAATTTACAGATATAATAAAATACTGTATTTATTTAACTGTCTTTCGGGATAAAATACTACCTATATTGAGCATTTGAAAAAAAAATCTTTTGAACTACACGAAAAAATACGAATGGACGAATAATTGAATCTCCGGCCCAATGAATTAGGCTCAAGATAAGAGGAATTACCTATTTTAGACAAATTAAATAAACAACTTTAAAAACCACAAAACTATATGCACGTAAAATAGGGATACAAATACAATAGTCTGATGCAAATTAAATAATCCAATTTTTGGTTTTAATATCAATTTATTATTTAAGGATTATGAACAATTTAATCTTCTGGTCTAAGGTCTAATGCAACTGTTAAGTTTACGCTTGTAGTCGGTATACAAGTTTTTCCGTAAAAAGTATTCTAACGGTACGATACAATAAATAAGTAGAGAGTTAGATTATTGTTTCAAAGTCCGTCCTAAGCATTAAAACATTTAAAAGCCTTTATAACTTTTAAAATCCTTTACCTGAACGTAAGTAAGCTTAATACGTCCCAATCAGAATCCTACTTAATGTTCGCACCGGTTGGGTTCTATGAACCATAGCAATATATACCTTTATACCTTTATACCATACATCCATCGCTGACCAGTAATGAAGATAACAAGTCATCTGTTTATACACCGTACCGGTTACAAATCCGCTGGATTCAGCACACTAAAGTATTGTAAGTGCAAAGCTCTTCTATTGAAAGTCAGCACCCAGCCTCTGTGTATACAACCTCTCTCCCGAAACAAAGCAGATCTTTTATTATGTTTACAGTTTACGTGTGTGATGGACACGAAAAAGTGGTAAAGATCTGCTTTTTAAAATATAAATAATTTGCTACTCGGGTTTTTATAAACATTACGATTCATCCTCGGAACCTATAAATTCTATCTCATAAAACAGTTTAAGGAATACAAAGAAACTTTTTAATCCCACGTTATTTAACTTTAGAATATTAAATTACAATCACTTTAGTATTTGAAAAAATATTTTGAGGTTGTAAATAACTTTTCAGAGGTTGTTTAAAAATAACGAAATTAACATTGCCCTTATGGCAGGCAAATCCATCATGTCGTTGGCTTCCATGAACTCCCTTGGAAATCAATTCAAAACAACAAAGAAAATTTTTAATCTCATAGTATACAAGATATTTAAATTATAATCACTTTGGTGTTTGAAAAACTATTTTTGGATAATAATAAACTCTTCAGCTTATCTTTGGATTGAAATCATCCAAATTGGGCATTAGCCTCCAAGGACTCTTAATAGGCTATTGATAATATAGTTATTATCGTGACCATTAAAAGTGATTGTGTTTAATCTATTTGAAAGTTGCATTGTATTGTTTTAAGATAGAAACTAAAACGGGATATTATGCCCATTGTAGCTTAGACCTTCATTCCTACTTATTGAATGGGGATGAAATAGAATGAGGATTTTTAAAACTCCATTTTGGCATATACTATGTGGGATATTCGTCCATCCCGTATTACCACAGTCCTAAAAGTTGTCACAAACTATTCGTTTTTGTATATTTTTTCATGCAATATGGATGTGGTCTCAATGAGCTTGAATAATTACTGCCGATGATAGAATATCGATAGTTTTGTGTTATTCCTTTATAATAAATACCATTACAGCTTTACCATTTTTCCTCATATTTTTTTGTTTATTTGTTTCAACACAAAACAACAAAATAGATTTTCTCGTTGTTCATTATTTGCTGAATAACTCAAATAATATTAAGTACCAGGTGACCGAGCATTTCTCGAGGTGTTTGATTTGTTCAAGAGGTATGAAAATGGAACCTATAAGCCTACATCTAATTTCAGTTTTGATATGATTAATTAAGTTGAAAAGTCAATTTGTTTTCGGTAGACATAAACTCATTCTTATTTAACTAACAAACCTTTCCATGTGGATGAGGAGTCTATAAAATCCTTACAATAAACTTCAATATAAAAACTCATGATACATAACATCTGTTGACCATTATTGCGTTAGTCACTGGGATCGCGGAACGTCATAACTACTAGGGATCGTGGAATAACGTATCAATTCTGGCGGCGCATCGTCGACAACTACAAAACATCCTTGGCAATCCTTTAGACTTTTAGTTCAATATTGGTGAATAGTGTTTTGCGGTAAAACACTTAACGTTTTTGAACAGTCGTAATTATTCCTTTGGTTTGTAATACATCATACAATCCGAATGTATTATATAATCAATGCTCAATAGGATTCATAGAAATTTTCTTTTCCTTTGTACTCTATTTTGTAATTTGCTACTGTACCGTAGATGATTTGTTACGACCATTATGTTACAATCAATTTGTTTACATTTTCGTAAAACTGTCATAGCTACTTTACAGTCCATAAGAGACTTCTGTTAAAAATATTAAAACTTAATTTTACGTTTTTAATGAAAAATTAATTTTTCCAGAACAGAGCCTGGCATGGATATTGTATTTAGCATAAAACTAAGATATTTCCAACAATTTGGAGGAAATCATTGAAGCCGTTTTTAGATTTAACAAGATTTAATGTTTTAATTTAGAAATGTAAAATTTTATCTGAACATGTATTGGAGAAATGGGAAAATATTTAAAAATAACAATACCCACAAGACCAATTACAATTATTGTTAAGTGTTGGTAGAAAATTTGTATTTAATCTTGGAAAGATATGAAAGATGTGAAAAGATAAGGTTAAACACATTAAAAATCAGTTTTATTTCCGAATTATGAATAATCTGCTAACAGAAGTTTGTAATATTTTTTAACGAATAAAGTTAAATGTTAATTTCTTTTAAGGCTACATTTAACTGCAGAAAACATTCACAAACAGCAATTAATATTATAAGTTTAATGCAGGGGGTATTTATTATTGTTTTTATAATTCCCTGAAGTGCAATAAAGATAAAATAAGGACCGTTGTAGAGCTCAAGTGACCCTTTAGCGGTTTACTTGAGAAAATACACGAGACATGTCCGAAAACAGCTTAGTTAAGTGTCGATTGTCGACAGATATCTCAGATAAGGTTTAGAGTTTTATTATTAACGCATAGTTTACTGTGTAATATGATTCTTTGAAATATACAAAACGACAAATAAACAGTATTAACTATTGTTGTAGGGTACTACTAATAACTTGGGAATTATATTTTTGCAATGCTTAATATAGATCAGAGGATAATGCAATACTTAATAATGCATAATAATATAAAGACACTTGGCAGGGTATTTTTAAAATACTCAAAGCAAGACTGTAGTGTTTTTCCTTGAATGCGGATAACACACCTATCTCATGCATATTATTATATAATATACCAAATCAATTTTAGGTAAACATACGGTTCTTATTATAAGGGGAATGTTCATTCCTAGTAGAAGAGACCAGAAGACGGGGAGGTTAATGTTGTTAAAAACGGTGGGAGTAACTATGACTCTCTTAAGCAGGAACCCGAACGGGATTCGCTTCTGAGAAAACACTCAGTTCTCGTGTGTCATAGGGACTCTGTATCTCCTTGTGGGATGTACCGGAATAAAACCTAACGGTTTTTCGGAGTTCAGGGACCTCCACGCGGTGGACGCTGGGAACTTTCTCTTGCCTGACGGTCATGTGGACCTGAAGGACGGCTGAACGACTTTAGGCCGTGAGGATGCTAACACCTGACACGTTTTTCCCTCCCTACCAACACCTTGGGAGGAGGCTCACAGGAGGGTGAGTTGGCGAAAGTCGCGGCGTACCGTCGAGCCGTTGAGGAGGCAGCCCCTCCATGGCGGTGTAGGTGCATTGGGTCAACTGCTCAATGTGCTGAATCTTTTGTAATTGTTTTCAATGTCTCAAATGATAAGCCTCGGACTCCGGTGGGGAGGCTCTCCCCCCCCCGGCTTGGACTAACCCAAACCGACAGGAGGGCTTGGACTTAGCAGACAACACCCCTTATGGGGCTGCTGGTCCAACCCCCGGACTTAGTGGTTTACCCATACCCATGGGAAGCCTCCATCTGTCAGCTCTGCCAGTCCTGGTTTACCAGGGCTGTCGACTTCAGAGCTCATCATGACTCTCAACACAGCAACAAGGCTGTCCACTACCGGTGTACAAAGTGCCAATCAAACCATCGTAGATGGAATGGAGTGGCCGTCCACTACGCCAGATGTAGAGGTCCACCTACGCCAACTGCTCCAGGCCCGGAACATATCTGTGTCTGCGGTAGGAGCTTCTCAAGACCTTCAGGCCTGGCCCTACAACGGAACACATGTCAACCGTACGCCCGGAATGCCGAGAGACTCGTTCCACCACCACCACCACTGCTGATACGAAGTTCCACTCTATGGTCACCAGAAGAGGACGATATACTCAGAAGACGCTACTGGGAGTACACTGCAAATGGACGACGTCAGGGTTATGCCCAGTTCATCGCAGTGGAACTGCCAAGAAAAACGGAGAGACAAGTAAGAGATAGGACACATTCCCTCCGGGCTAGAGGCCTGCTGGAGCGCCCGCGGCCAGACCCTGAGAAGCATGTAGAAGAGGAGCCTCAAGAAGAGCTACCAGTGGAAGAGGAGGTAGTGGAAGAAGACCAAGTGGAAGAAGAAGAAGAAATTGCAGAAGAAGATCCACGAACCGATGTAGAACAACAACCTAATAATGACTTTCAACCAGGACACGACGCACAACCTGAAGATGACGACCAACCCGAAGACGACATCCCGGACGAAGACAACACTAATGAAGACACACCTGTTCAAAGACAACCTGAAGTAGACCAGCCTGAAGAGATGGAGCGTCGGACACCAGAAGCTCCTGGAGGAAGAATCGACCAAAACCCCGTCCCAATCGTACTGGGACTGGATGTTTCTCCTGAAGCACCAGAGGCAGTGATACCACCACCGTCACTAGAGCCCGAGCAAACAGTCCCGACTTCGAGTGAGTCAGAACGTTGGACAGAAGTTCTTGACAACCTAAATGGAATCCAACTACTCGACCCAATCGGACTTCGACTCCGGCAACTGGCGGAACGAGAGGGCGATATTCAAGGGGAACTCGACGCTCTGGTAAAGGAGCTCCATGCTGCCATGAAGGCTGCCGCCCCAGTACCAGCCGGTCGACCTGCCAACGTCAGAGGGACTAGACCTTCAAGAACCGAGAGGACGCGTCGGAACGTCACCCGCTACGCCAAGACCCAAGATCTTTGGAAGAAGAATCCATCTCGCCTGGCCGACCTGGTCATCAAGAATAACCTAGGTGATCTGGCTCAACAAGGGCCAAGGATCGACCCTCCAAAGGAAGAAACTGTCGCCCTCTTCAAAGGACTCTGGGGCACGGCTTGTGATTCCACGCTACCACTCCCTCATCTCGACCCTCAGCCTGACGCCATTGTTGAACCTATCTCCAGTATTGAAGTGACGAAGAGAATAAGGAGACTCAAACCTGGTGGGGCCCGGGACTGGACGGTGTAACAAAGAAGGGGATAACCGCCTATCCGCACGCAGCCAAGACGCTCGCTGTGTTGTACAACATCGTGCTTTTCCGTGGTGTCTTCCCCACAACCTGGAGGACAAATAGGACAAATTTGCTACCAAAGCCGGGCAAGGATCATACCCGGCCTGAAAACTGGAGGCCCATAACAATCGCTCCCCTTACTGCTCGCCTCTACAGTGGTCTCATTGAATCTCGACTGCTGGGACAAGTTTTCGTCTCAGCGAGGCAACATGGATTACGGCCTGGTAATTGCTGCCACGTCAATTGCTGGATCCTCAATGAGGTGATCAGACAGGGAAAGAAGAGCCAAGTAGTTGGAGTACAACTGGATGTGAGTAAAGCATTCGACACCGTATCCCATGCGGCAATCACCGAAGTGCTTCGAAGCCATTGGGTATCACCCTGTCTCATTGAGCACCGTAAGAGAAATGTACTCTGACTGCTCAACAATACTTGGAAACTTTGGAGAGAGGATTACTCTACGAAGAGGAGTCAAACAAGGTGAGCCACTGGCGCCGCTGTTGTTCAATCTGGTGGTGGACCCGCTCCTCCAGGAACTTCAAGCTTCGGGGGACGGCTTCACCGTCGGTGGGCGGCGGTTGGCGGCCATGGCGTATGCCGATGACATCACTTTGTTTGCTAACAATGAGGTTGAAATGAAGAGACTACTCCTCAGGACCGAAGATTACCTCAAGGAAGTGGGAATGGGGCTGTCTGCAGCAAAGTGCGGCTGTTTTGACATCCGGAAGAAGGGGGACTCCTGGGTGACGACACTTGTAAATCTTACCATCCAAGGCCAACCCTTGACGTCCTTCGCAGCCAGCACTGAGTTCTCGTATCTCGGGCTCACCTTTACCATCCGCGGTGGGTTTGAGAACAGACAGCACCTGAATACCCTGTGCGAAGCCGCCACAAGAGTCCACCGTCTCGCACTCAAGCCTCAGCAGAAGGTATGTCTGCTGATGCAGTATATCGTGCCTGCTTTCGCACACCGGTTCGCCATCGATACGCCCTCAAAAAATGATCTAAAGAGGGTCGATGCCACACTCAGAGAGGAAGTTAAGAAGACACTCCACCTTCACCACAGCACTACCGACGGACTTCTCTACACAAGAAAGAAGGACGGGGGCCTTGGCTTCCCGCACCTCATCTTCCAGTCCCGGCTCTGTGGGTTAAGAGCCGTAACGTCACTGCTGATGATGGAGGACCCCCTGCTGGAGGAATTGGGCAGAATCGGTGGGTGGAACAACCGTGCTGAAGAGCTCGCGGGGCGCCTGGGAATTCCGTTCCCACCATCAGCCATGGACCTGCGGCGGGCGAAACAAGAATACAAGACAGGAGAGTTGGGCGTCTCTTCAGACTCATGGCCAGGGTGTCCAGTGGTTCCGTAATAACCCTCTTGGTAACCACTGGCTCCTGAATCAGCAAGCCCTTAAGCCAGGACAATTCATCGACGCTCTGAAGTTAAGGACCAACACCTTCGGGACAAGAACAGCTATTGGCCGAGCAGATCGGCAAATCGATACGATCTGTAGGCGATGTCAATTGAAACCGGAAACCCCCTGGTCACGTCATCGGCGAGTGCTCCGCTGGGAGGCGGGCGAGGATAGAGCGCCACAACTGGGTAGTTGGCAAGATAGAAGATCAATGCAAGAGAAGAGGAGCTGTCGTCGCAAGAGAACAAGAGTTCGTCTTGGGCGGGGAGAAACTGAAGCCAGATCTAGTCATAAATTCACGAGACCGGTCAGTTATCCTCGACGTCACCCTTCCCTATGAGAACGGCGATTCACTCTCTATAGCTGCATTGCAGAAGGTAACTAACTATCAGCCTCTGCTTCGAACTGTTCTGCGGCTGTTCGGAACTACGTCGGGAGAAGTTATCCCCGTAGTCATCGGCGCTCGTGGTGCTCTTCCTCAGGCCACCATCACCGGCCTCAAGAAAGTCGGCGTGACCGAGAGGAATACTCTACTCGACTTCACTCGACTTCACACTCTAGGCAATCCATACATCCATTGATATTTGCCGTGGACACTTAGACTACGGGTGACCATCAGCCCCCTTGTACCGAGTACCTGCATTACACAAGATAGATAAAGACTTGAAAACCCGAAGATAAAATAAAGTCTATTTTCAGCAAGATAAATGACCTATAAGCAAGCTTGTAAGAAGATCACCTCAGTGAGAAGAAAGAAAAGAATATTATATTAAAACCACTAAGTGGAAAGTGCTGAAAATAGCGAAAAAAAATTTCCAACCAATGATAAGCATTCAAGGTAGAGTGCTTTCATTCTTTCTTAGCATTGTGAAACAAAGAAATCCATTAGGCCCAGTTATGTTATCAAACTAAATATAGTTTTAATATAATTTTGTCTAATTAATTGAGATAGCATTTTACTTCTAACTCTACCTCTTCTTTCAGCACAATTTACGTTACTAAAATCTGAAAAGGAATCCCTCAAGATAGAATATTTTTATTTTTAAATAATTAATTATTATAATTGACATTGGAAAGATTACGCGTAAATAAATAGGTAGCGTTAACGATTGATATACGAATACCTTATTTTAATTCATAATTTAGATAGTAAATGTCACATTAAAACTGTGAAACAGATACCCAAATACTATATTTTCTACATGATTCAAGTAAAAATATATAAGTTATTGCGTGTGTGTTTTAAAATTACGTATACTTAATATTCGCTAAATGCCGAGGGCGAATAGATCGAGATGAAAGTTGTAAAACTACTTTCATAAATAAATTTACCATAGTTACGTTATATTTGTAAAGCCTTTAACAACCTCAATACTAATCAGGAAACTAGACAAATCAAAGAATGTTTTATCGTATTTTCACTATTTATCAGATATAGTATAAAGAAAACATTTAATTGATGTTGATTGACATTATAATATACATCAGTCTTGTATGTTCGCTAAAGTATAATATAGTATATATAGTAAATTAAAATTAAGTTACTTTTATGTGACTCTACTATAAAAATGGTTGATTATTAAGGTTATTCAAATTTCAAAAAGATATAACCATTTCTATGTTTATATCATTATGGTGTTTTTTTTATTAACGTAATGTTTGAGTAATATTATTAGGTATTGTTTTACTGTGAATACGACAAAAGAACTTAAACTCATATTCTGTTAATGTATAGCAATAAACATTAACATTAGCAATAACACTTTGATTTGCAAGTTGTTCATCCAACTTTAAATAATAATACTTATAGTATTTCCTAATTATTGTTACAATCTTTGAAATAATTGGCAAATGAAAGTGAAGAGAAATAAAAACACATAAAACTCGTTTGACCAGAAACTCATAGTTACATACTATTTTTAACCTTAGAATTTAAAAGCTGTTATATTTACTAATGCAAAAAGCCAAATGACATTTAAAAAGTATAAAATTCGATAATTAAAGTGCGAAAGTTTGCGAGAAAGTTTATTTGATTCGGTTATCAATGATAAATGCTCCAGAATTAATTGATTTTCATTGAAAACAAAGTCCTGTGATTACTCTTTTTGAATAATGGATTCATTTAATAAGGGGAAATCTTTTGTGGGTAAATGGTTATACTTTACTAGTTATACTTATATACCACTTTTGCTCGTTCCATTATATAACCAACTAAGAAGTCATTTATTTACATGGCATTTTTTGGAAAGATTGATGTAATACGGTAGGTCGTATACAGTGGTTAAAATGTGATAATATAATCTTTTTAAGACATATATTGTGATGCAGGTTGGTAGAAGGATTTTAATTTAAACAGCATTTTAACTAATATAACTGTTACTTTAAATTTAAAATAAATTAGCGATATATACGAACTTAGCTAAACAAATTGAAATAGTACGATCGGTTGAATTGTAGTGACTGGATAAGACTTAAAAGTAATATTAATGTACCAGACATACCCTTCCAACACTATTAAAAATTGTATCAGTAAAATAATTGTAATTTAATAAGACTAAATCAAAATATCTTCAAGTAAAAAAATGCGTATTTTTACAAATATGATACATATGATATTAATTCAAATTTTTTTCATTGCTTTATATTAAGTAGGTGTTAGGATATTAAGAGGGTTTACATGGTTTATTTTATAAGATTTAATTTAACAGACTGTTAAGCTACGAGGCAAAAGTTGGCCGATCTAATTCATTTCTCATATTAGTCATACCATTACGCCAACTAATATTAGCTGAATCCATACCGCGTACATACATATGCAGATCTGATCTACTACCATCTGCATAAACATATGCTGTTTACCTCGAAAGGTGACGGGTTAGACTACTTCATTTTCACAAACTTTGATAAGCTTGAACAGGATCCCATTGAAAAATAAAATTTTATCCATTCATGTAAAACGTAAGGATGTAGATTTTGATGTGGAAGCTGTGAAGATTTAAAATAGATTTTGTACATATTTTATGCGTGATAAAAATAGATATTAAAAAATGATGTGTGAGTTATTGGTTGAAAACAGGGGCTGTAGGACAGCTCAGCGAACATTGAGTTTAACACTTTGACCACATTGACATATAAGGCAAGGCGGTATGTCTTTATTGTGATATCTATGAAAATGTGCATTGTGAAAATATGTTTCTAACTTTTTGCTTAGTAAAGTCAAGACACAAGAACCTGGGATATAAGGTGAGTAATGCTCAAAGAGTTCCTTGAAAGGCTACTGGGATCAGGATAGTTACAACTGTTAGTTGTTGAACCGTTGTAGTAATCAATTGACTAAGTTTGACAATGCTACAGTGGTCATTTACATTCCAATAGTAACTGAGTTAGACATTGCCTACTATTGGCTATGCGTATAGTAAACCATCAAGTCACTTGATTTTTGATTTGAAAATACGGAGATAAAAATAATAATACAAAAGGAAGACATTTTTGAAAATAAATAACAAATTTAAGTATATGTCGAAAACACTTTTGTCTGCCAT